TCCTGCCCGGGCTGGCTTTGAACCGCGATCCTCAGATCTCAGTCTCCTGAGTAGCTAGGATTACAGGCGTGAGCCACCAGCGCCCGGCTATATACTTCTTAATAAGTACCAAGCTACTCTTATCTTGGTTCTTTCACTTGCTAGTCAAGTGAAACGGGGTAATTTATTCTTGTTTTCTTTACTAGTAATAAGGAGAAGAGTATCTAATCTCATTAAAATTTTAAAGAATAAAGTAAGTTAATATATGTTAAGGGCTAAAAACAGAAATTAGTTCATAGTAAAAAAAAACAAGAGAGGAATTTAGTAAAAATAATGTATTACACTTACAAGAAATGATGAGAATAAAAGTATCACATGGAGCATGAGGACCATATCAAAATGGTGTAGGTTTAGAAAATTTTTAGAATGGCAGCTCTAGTGGCAATGTGGAGAATAGGAAAGCTGAAGGCACAGCAGTTATGAGGCCATTCCAACAGTTCAAGTCTAATCAATGGCAATAATGATGGAAAGAAGTTTGAAGACAGATTTTTATGGGACCTGAGAACAGATTAAACATGTAAGATAGTGAGGAAGTGTCATCAATTACCTCAATGACAATTCCTAGGTTCCCAAATGGTTGGATGTCAAAGTAGCAATGAGGTATAGTAAAATGGGTTGAAAGTACTGAAAATGTATTTTATCTATTACTAAAAATTATTACTATTATGAGTTTAGAGATTTGGACAAAACGACTGTACACTGAGTATCTTGATGCCCTATTAACTAAATTGCTGAAGTAACATACAAGCCAAAATTGTCTTTATCTGTCCATTTTATTTGTTTTCCATGATCCTCTACTGCATTTACAAATGTTTCTTACCATGACTGGCTTGCCCTGAAATGTTTTAACTTCTTCTCTTAAATATTTAAAAGCCTGTTAACCAATCAGAAAATAATTGTTATTAGCATTCAACATTAAATACATTTTTACTGAATAAAGCAGGTTTGTAATAACTTTTAAAGTTAAAGTAACAATCCTAAAGCTAATAGGAAATGAAAAATAAAAATTTAAGGTATCTT